CCCCCCCCCCCGCTATTTAATTGCATTTATTGCCCATTTCATCTTACATCAGAAACTGTGTATTTGGCCAGCAGAAAGAAAAATACTTCTACCAGTTTCTAGATCAGGTGTGATTTAAGTCCTGCATTTTAAGACTGAAGGTAACTGCTGAACAATTTTCACAAGTTTTGCTTGTCCCTGCCACAGGTGATGTCCACTTTGATTTTGTTTATAGAATTAAGTAAATGAGGGTATTCTAACCTTGTTTTGAAACCTTAATGCTGGCTACAGTAAACACTATTTACTCTCAGAAAATATTATCTTGTAATGTGATTGGTTGGATACCTCATATAGGGTGTGATATCCTTTCCCATTCATTTATCCAGATATTGTAAGGATAAAACAACTTGGTCAGGAATGAGACTGACTGTTTACCGAAACCAACAGTGTCTGCTGCTGGGTGGTAGCAGTTAGAGCCACTTAAAAATAGTGCCTTTTAGTGGGTAGTTCAAGTTAATTGATCCCCTGGGGGTTCCTAGGTGCTCTCTCTAGTTCCCTATTACCTCTACATGTGTCCATGCTTAAGCTAGTCGGCATCTGCACTTAAATTTACCCAGTTGCAAAATGAAGCTTTTTTTATGATTATGAAACAGCAAAGATCGAGGGCTAAAAGGTTAGAGAGGGAACCAAGAGTTTTATTTGAGACCAGCCTTTTGTGGTGGTGGACACATTGGTTTTTGTTTCTCAGCAATATCCACAAAGAAAGCTAGTGAGAGTTCCCCTCTCCCCTGTCTCCTTGGAGAGGGGTATCATGATTTAAAGTGATAAAGCTCTGAAGATTTGAGACACTTTGAGCATGTGACTTGGAAGTGATTGATTCCAGATAGTACTGGAGAAAGTTGTTGACAGTAGGTTCTTTTATTTCCTGATACATCAGTATAGACTATGAAAGTTGAATCATGATATCTGGTTATTTCTTTTCTCTCTTCATATACAGTGTTAATGTACCGGGGTGAGGCACTAGAAGATTTTACAGGTCCGGATTGTCGTTTTGTGAATTTTAAAAAAGGCGACAATATCTATGTCTACTATAAACTGGCGGGGACATCGCCTGAAGTTTGGGCTGGAAGTGTAAGTAAAAATTAGACGTACCTTTTTTTTTTTTCTTTTTTCCTTTTTCATCACCAAAAAGCATTTATTCAGGAAAAAGAAAGGACTGCAACTCAGAACCTGCAGACTTGGTGAGCCACACGCAAATTCTGCCAGGAAAAAGACAGAGAAAGTGACATACTTTCCTTTCTGACTTTGCACTGGCTTGTTTAGCACTGTCGATTTGAATGACTGTTTTCTTGGGGTCCTTGATGGCACTAACCTGCCCTCTGCTGTGTGTCCCCAGCAGGCAGCAGGCTTGGCACAGAGGAGGGGCCCAGCAGAGGTTTCTGAAATAGAACTGAGCGGCTTCCAGCTACTGCTCCTCAGCATCACATTCTAGGCCTCCTCAGCCATGGGTGCTCCACACACAGTAGAGGTTGAAACAGTGCAACCGGAAAATTCCTAACTTTGTTGCTTTAAAATGGAAGGATCCATGGGCATGGGACTTACTTCTGTAAGCTGTGAGCAAGATAGTGTCTCGGGCATTCACGATGAAAGTTGATTTTGTGTGCATTTCTTTTTTTTCTAAATTATTGGTATTTGTGAAAACCTGGCAGCTCTGGGAAGTCACCTTAATCACGTATGCCATTCTTAGTCTGTTAAAAGAGCCAAACGTCATCTTCACTGTGTGCTTTTCTTGTCTAGGTCACCCTTTTCCCTCTTTTCAGGTACTTGCTCCCAGGGGTTCCCCCAGCAGCTTGACTCCATCCAGTTCCCTGGATGCCCTGATACCAGGCATGGAAATCAATGACTGTATCATGCTTTGATGTTTTGAATGAGGAGATTCATTGGGAGAGAGCTGATTGGGAGGCTTATGAGTGATTGTCCTTTCCTTTTAAAAAAGTCTGATGTGAGGACAGTGGATTTATTGAAAGAAATGAGTCCGCCCGGCCGGGCATGGCTCAGCGGTTGAGCATCAGCCTAGGATCCAGGCGATCGGGGTTCGATTCCTGGTCAGGGCACATGCCCGGGTTGCGGGCTCGATCAATGACTTTCTCATCATTGATGTTTCTATCTCTCTCTCTCCCTCTCCTTCCCTCTCTCTGAAATCAATAAAGATATATTAAAAAAGAAAAAAAGAAAAAGAAAGAAATGAGTCCTTGATGTCCTTAGAGAAATACCCAGTCCCAACTGTGAAAGCTTTCATGTTAATAGAACACCAAACAACTGACAGAAAATAAGATGCGAGGAACCCCCCTAGGGAAAAACAGATGGATTTGGGGCCGTTCCAGATTCCCAGGGAGGAATCTCGAAAGGCCCACTGGTCGGGTGCAACCCTTGCATTTAGGCAGAATCCCAGTTGACTCGCTCGATACAAAGAAGAATCTATTCTGTTTCTTCCAAGTTGTACCACATGGGATTTCTTAGAGAGTTTTTCCATGTCCCTACGCTGCATTTTTAATCTGGTCTGAGCATTTGGATAAGTGAACTCAACTTGCATTTTTCTACCTCCACATGTTTGTCCACAACATTCACCCCTAGAAAGTCTGCTGTCTCTCGGGGGCCCAGCTTGCATCTTGCCTTCTGTGGGAAGCACTGCCCCCAGCACCCACCCAGAAGGGATCTTTGTTGTCTGATCATTGCTTGGAAGGCATATGTGTGCACTGCTCATGTGACTTTTTTTCCATGCTTTTCATTGCAGTTAGTGTGTGTACGTACTGTCTTAGCTCCTGTAAAATCAAATGGTCTGTAATGGAAGGGCCCACGTGTAACCCAGCTTCCTTTCGAGTATTTCCTTTCAGGGTGGCAGCATTTACATTTGTCTTGATAGTTGCTGTGCAAAATTTGTTCTCTTGAAACAATATTCTGCTTTCCCCCCCAAATCAAATCAGCAGTTTCTTGGCAGGGATGATATATGGAAGCAAAATTAGATACAAAGATTACTTCTAGTTATGAGGGCCCATGATTCTGCAACATTTGGGGGAGGGTCAGGTCATAAGGAACAGTAGGATCCCACCCAGTATTAAAATACGGAGTTTTATATGACAAAGGTTACACAAAGATAATGTATTTCCTTTCTCTACAGATCTCTGATTTTTTTCCCTTTTCCAGATTCTCTCTAAATAAAGGATATTTTCCCTCTCTCTCCTCTCTCATTTCGTGAATCTTATACTTTAGGAAATTAAAAACTCTCTCTCCATGGCTTTCAAATGATTCTTCTTTCTATTTCTTAGTTTCCATCCTGTGGTCTTTTTTGGTTTCTTAGAGTTTCAGACTTGAAATGCCAATGTGGCAGATTTTAATTGCCCTGGCTTATCTAATCTCCAAGGCACTATTCTACCACTAATACTGGCTCTCAGGGAGTTGCCAGATAAACAGGAGCACTCATAATGGGGATATTTTAGGAGTTAGTGATAAGATAGCCTTTTTTTCTTTTCGAGCATTTGATCTGCCTGTCAGTCTCCTTTTTTGATGACTGGGAAGAGATCTGCCACTCTCTTTCAGATTGTGGCTAGTAACAGACAGTGTATGTTTCTCAAGAGGATACACTTAGTATCACCTTAGCTGTTAGTGCCATAGATAAATGGGGTCATCTTCTACAGAGATTTACTTTGCATAAAACTCCAGCTTGATGTGTAGATTAGTATGAATTATATTTTCTCCCCAAATACTTGAAAATCTAGTTTTTGAAAAAGCTAGTACAGCCCATAATATCAATAAATATTTGTTTGCCTTTTGTTGTGTTGATCATACATTTCAGAAATTTTATATGTTTTACTTACTAATTTTCATTGCTGATGTTTATTCTGGTTTATGAGCAATGCTGTGACGTGCAGGTAAATTCTTGAGAGAGGTTATTGGAATTGTGTTTCCAACCAGCTTTGATTTGCATAGTTTTAATTATATAATATACAACAATCTTCTCTTACGCAGATCTTTTATCTACCTCAGAAATCTAACTTTATGTGCCCTGTGTTTAGCATTAAGCTGAATGTTGAAAGAAAACTTGAGTGGTTTTAGAAAAGTTGGCTTTACAGTATTATGTAGTTAATTTTTATTGGAATAATGATCTCTCTAATTTTAGTGACTATGATGTAGTTAATTTTTATTGGAATAACATCTATCTGTCTGTCTATATTTCCTCTCATTTTCATTTCTCTCATATTTCTTGTACAGAACTTGATTGGTATTTTTTTCTTCTGCCCATTCTTTTATATAGGTTGGACGTATATTTGGATATTTTCCAAAGGATTTAATCCAGGTAGTCCATGAATATACTAAAAAAGAGCTACAAATTCCAGCAGATGTAAGTTGGGGATTTTTTTTTTTTTTGGTTCTCAATTATACTTGGCTTATAAATTCATCAGTTGTTAACTACATTAATTCTCAATGTCGTCTATAGCTTTAACTTTAAGCAAAATGACATATAACAAAGTCAGTTTTATGATAGGTTAATTTACATAAGCAAGAGTTAAGTTTCTATGGCGTCTCATCACTGTGATAATGAAATGACATTGAACAAGATGTTATTCAAGGACTTGTTGGCTTTTTGAAAGTCTTTGAATGTGTTTTGGTAAAAAAAAAAATTAACATTTGTGTATCAGATTTTAATGTAGAATCAGACTACCTTTAAAAATAGAAAAGAAAGAAAAGTTTGAAAAGAATTTCTAAGAGACTGTATCATTATCTGATAGTTATCTAATACATTGAAGCAGGTCTTATACAGGCTGTGGACTCTCACACAGGATTTTTCTTTGCTGCTTTACATGAGAAAAAAGTTAAGAATTCAGTATCTGTGCATTTAGTTAAACTGAGGTAAATAATTTTTTTTATAAGCAAAATGAATAGCTGTTAAGACAGTTAAGTACACAGAAATCAGTTTAAGTTGATGAAACCCTAATATACGTACTAGGCCAAAACCACAAATTTACAGGGATTTTCTTATTATTGACCCCTTAGTGATTTAAGGGATTGTAGTTATATTATAGACTTGGAAAAGGGAATGTGAGAGTTTCAGATGAGGTCCTGGCTCAAATCTACAAGGTACCTACTGCACATTCTATAAAGCATTCCTCTAGGGTGCACTGACCTAAAATAGCTTTGTCAGGACAAGGATTTTGTGTCCTGGAATCCTTGTTCAGCTCATTATTCCTGGAGTTTTAAAATTTATAATAATTGATGCCCACTTCCATTCAGAAGTCTTTGAGCAGCTCTTTGGAGTCTCTGCCGAGCATGCTAGCTGCTGTCCTAGGGCATTTCTTAGATGAGACTGGCAGAACGGATGACGTTCTAGAGCCATCGCTATTATTAAAATTTCTTGATGATCCCAGGGGTCATAAATTCAGCCCTATTGCCTGTTTGTCCTCACTCTGAAAGAAGAGACTTCCAGGACGTGTGCGAGACAGCAGCCATTAGTCACAGGGACTTCACTTGTTTGGGGTTCTGCCTTCTCCTCACACCTCCCATTGCGTGCTCCCCTCACTGTTAAGAAAATGGCTTAGAAATGCATGCGATGAAAAAAGGAAATCATTTATCCATACCATACTGGTAAGGTCTCCCCAGAGTAATGTGAAAGTTTAGTTAGGAGAAGAAAATGATCTTTGTTGGTTACTTAACTTTTCCCTCTGTCTGTGGCCCCTTTCATGTCAATGGGGTTTTTAAGGGAGGAAAGGAAGAATATAGATTTACAGACAGTCCTGAAAGCAGATTTTAATGACACCAAGGATCCGGGTATAGCTAGGGTATATCTCTACTGAATCTTGTCTTCTTTCTTTTTATATAGATATGTTTTTATTGATTTTTTTTAGAGAAAAAGGGAGAGGGAGAGAGAAACATCAATTGGCCGCCTCCTGCATGTCCCCTGCTGGGGATCGAGCCTGCACCCCGGGCATGTGCCCTGACCTCTTGGTGCATGGGTTGATGTTCAACCACTTTGCCACACTGGCTGGGCCTGAATCTTGTTTCCAAGTTATACTCGTGGTAATAATTAAGCGGAGCCCCTTGGACACCAGTCTTTGTTTCTTTAAATTTTTACTTCTGTGCACCTGTATTTCAATAAGATAATTCTTGAGCTGGTTTGTCTTTTCTAATCCAAGGAAAATATGAGCCCCAAATCTGTGCAAACTTAGAGCCTGACAGCAAGGGGATTCTACTGTTTCTAGCTGGGTCAGCAGAGAAGTTCAGCCTAGAAAGCAGGCTGGCAGAGGAGCTGGATGGTCTTGTATTATAACGTGGTGAATTCCCAGAACATCGGGTACAGATGTTGGAAGTTGGGAGACCCAATCAGTGACACCCCACTTACCCCCATTTGTGCTCAGAACAAATTGAGAGACCCAGGAGTCAGGCAGATGGAGACTAAAATGGCCTCATTATTTATTTATAAAGCTTTTTGGCAAACACGGCTGAAGTGTGCAGATCTAATGGGCTTTCAAACATTACAGTCTAGAATAAGACGGACAAGCACAGCCAGAGGTAGGGCTAGGGAAGGGGGGGCTCTCCCCAGGGGAACTGTCCTTGTAAAACTGACAGCATAGAGGAGAGAGGATGTGTCTCCTTCCAGCTCATCCCAAATAGAAAACAGGGATGGTGCAGGGCAACTCATCAGCCACATGAATCATTCCTCCCCTGGGAAAGAGAGAATGAAGGGAAGCCAGGAATGTTCCGCAGATGGAAGTCTGTCCTCAGGGAAGCAGAAAGCCAGGGAAAAGGGGGTTCCGGCCTCCTATCTCCCGGCTACCCAAGAACACTCATTGCCTGAGGCTGGCACAAAAGCCCCTCTAGAGTCAAGCATGAGTTTGAGGTTATCCCTGTCATTAGCATGGGTAAGAGTTTGCTCTTGTGGACATGTGGCTAGCGGCACACTAATGTCTTTCTTTCCCTTACAGGAGACCGATTTTGTTTGCTTTGATGGGGGAAGAGACGATTTTGATAACTATAATGTAGAAGAACTTTTAGGATTTTTGGAATTATCCAATTCTGCAACTAGAGATTCTGAGAAAGCTATAGAAAAAACTTCTCAGCATGTGGAAAAACCTCCTGAAGTAACTAAAGAAAGTGACCCTGAACCTGATTCAGTGCAAGCCACCTTGGAGGAAGGAGAAGGCATTTTCTCAGAAAACACTAAGGAACTCAAGGAAAGACATGAGGCTCAGAAGAACCCCCTCCATGTACACAGCCAAAGAAATCACCCTCAGGGAGAGCGATCTTCACCTGAACCTTCTGAAGAAATGCTTCAAGATAAATTAAACATATCAGACAGTGAAAACAAAACCAGCAATAGCTCTCAGCTCTCAAACGAACAGGAGAAGACTGATGCTTATAAACTTTTGAAAAAAGAAATGACCCTGGACTTGAAAACCAAATTTGGCTCAACCGCAGATGCACTTGTGTCTGATGATGAGACGACCAGACTCGTTACTTCATTAGAAGATGATTTTGATGAGGAATTAGATGCTGAGTACTATGTGGTTGGGAAGGGAGAGGAGGAGGAGGGTGAAGAAAGCTTTGATGAGCTGCCATTACTGACCTTTACGGATGCAGGGGATTTGAAAATGCCAGTGGACCCTGAATTTGGGAAGTATTCAACAGATAAAGAGCAGGATTCACGTGAGGAAGATGAGTTGGAGGGAACTAAGCCCCTCGGCATCAGAGAGGATGCTAAAACTGTCCTAACAGCTTGGGAGGATCCTGTCACAGAAGGTGAGGGACAGACAGGCGTGGATTTCGAGACTCCTGATTCCGTGGGAGAAAAGGAAGATGAGGATGGATTAGTCCCAGACGGCAAATGGAGGAAACCACGGTCAGCAACAGATGATATTGACCCTGAAAAGGTGGAAGGTGGTCCTTTGACTGTAGAAGTTCCTAAAACAAATAGTGACAGAAACCCAGAAATGGACACAGAATTTCACATTCACGGAAAAGGGAGGACAGTTGAGGAATCCAAAGGGGACCTGGTGCAAGGTGAGAAAGGAGTAGAGGGTGAAAGGAAAGAAGACAAGACTCTGCACGGATCTACTCCAAGCAGTGACCTCAGCTCTTTGCCAGCTACTGAAAAGGGTAAAGAAACATCGGGATCAGCCTTTGATAGCAAAGAAAATGATCTAAAAGGAGCAGCTGTCCATATCTCAAAAGGAGTGGTCCCCGAAGAGAAGCCTGGAGGGCAGATTTCTGAAGGTGGCTCAGAGGGCGGATGGGAACACAGAGCTGCAGGGAATGATGGGAAGGAAGGGACAATCGAACAGGAAGCCGGGGGTGTTACCCCGCTCTCGAGGGACAATCAGCAGAACGCATCCAAAGATGGTGTGGAGAACGGAGTGGGTGTTGCAGTAAATGAACCAGAGCAACACACGCTTGCAGTGGAGCATCCAAGTGAGGAATTTAAGGAGGAACAGCATCTTCAAACTCAAAATCAACCTAGGCTCTCCTCTCCTGATGAAATGGGTTTGTCAACAGAGCTGGAAGATGAGGGTCCCGTTCTGGGAAGAAATGTGTCCGGACAGCAAGAAAGAAATGTGGCTGCTGCAGTTAATCAGCAAGTGAAGGAAAAGACAAGGCTGCCTGAGGAAGAGGTCACAGCGGACACTGTAGATGAGGGTTTTTTTCACCCACAGCTGGGCACTCCGGAAGCAGAAACAGCAGGCCAAACTGATGGTGCAGAGGTGCCGGGTTTCCAGACTGAGAAAGCAGAGGCAGAGGATGGCAATTCCACCTCCGAAGAACTGCTGGCTGATGAAAATGCTCTAAGTGCAAAACAGTCTAAAGAAAAAAGCCCTGAGATGCAGGACAGGCAGATAGGTGCTAATCCACAAGTCCCTGGAAGAGGACTTTTAGGCCTCTTGAGTGCCAATGTAGAAACTGAAGAAGACAAAGAAAAAACTAGTAATGTTTTGGAAACCGAAAGGAAAAATGAAACTGAGGGCAACGGGGTGGGCTCGCTAGGCAAGGAACCTGGGGTTCTGGTGGTAGAGAAAGAAGACAGCCCTCCTGCACAGGACAAAGCACAGAGACCATCTGAAGGAAGTGACGTTCCTGACAAGGGAAAAGATCAGGCTCCAGAGCTGGGTGAAGTATTTCAGAGTAAAGATCCTGGCCATCTTAAAGAAGACAATGCTGAGGAGCACCTGAAGGCCTCAGGGTTCGTGGAGGAGCCTGGAGTAGAGCTCTCAGAAGCAGACCAGGAGGGCAAAGAGAAGTTCATGGACACACAGAGCCCCGGGGCTGCTTCCGAGGAACATGCAGGTGATCTGCTCCACTGGTCTGCGTATATGACTGCAAAGCCAGGGCTCAGTGCCCCCAGGGAGGATCTGCCCATAATAAGCAGCTTCTTTAAAGAACAGCAGTCTTGGCAGCGGTTCCAGAAGTACTTTGATGTCTACGAGCTGGAAGCCATGTTCCAGGACATGTCACAAAAGCTGAAGTCAGCCCAGCAGGAGAGCCTGCCCTATAACGTGGAGAAAGTCCTGGACAAGGTCTTCCGTGTGTCTGAGGCACAGATTTTGAGCGTCGCAGAGAAGATGCTAGATACTCGTGCAACCGAACACAGGGATTTGGGGATGAAGGAAAAAAACATATTGGAAGAGGCTGCAGTACTGGAAGATGTTCAAGACCTGATCTATTTTGTCCGGTACACATATTCCACAGGGGAGGAGACTGGGCCACCGGCAGCGACACAGCTTCCTGAGGATGGCTGGGGGGGCCCAGCGGAAGGTAAAGTACCTGCCAGTGGCCTTGAGAAACGTGGGTGGGGCCAGCAGGAGGGCTGCCTTATACCTTATTTGTCAAGCGCTGTCCACAGTTTACAGTGTGTCTAGAGGCAAGAGGCAGCACAGTGATGTCCACATGTCCCTTTCTACCTTCTTTCAGGCACGGATAAGGATTTCTTACCCTGTTTTCTCCTCAGAACAGTTGAGAATGGCAGCATTTTGAAAAGGGAACTTTATGAAAAGACAAACGAGAAAAAGATGCACAAAATAGACCTGTTAACAAAAAGTACAAGTTTCATGTAAAATTACGAAAAGTGCTTTTGCGAACACTTTAAAAAAAAAAAAATCTTTATTGATTTCAGAGAGAGGAAGGGAGGGAGAGAGAGAGAAACATCAGTGATGAGAATCACTGATCGGCTGCTTCCTGCACGCCCTCCACTGGGGATTGAGCCCGCAACTGGGCATGTGCCCTGACCAGGAATTGAACCGGGATCTCCTGGATCCTAGGTTGATGTTCAACCGCTGAGCCACGCTGGCTGGGCACGAACACAGTTTCTTAATCATAAAATAACTGTTGTCGGAGCAAAGATTGGCCTAACATTCAACCGATGCCTTGTCTGAGGTTCTTCATTCTCCCAACTTCCATACTGTGTGGATGTCAGGTTCTTTCTGCCTCCTTGGAGCATTCACCTAGGTCAGTTCAGTTCTGCTGGGCCCTGGGGTGCTTGCATTCCGATTGGTGAAGCATTGAACCAGGATGCAGAGAATTCTAACTCGGTGCCTGACACATTGAAGCCAATCAGTAAATAGTGGTTGAATTGACCATGAGCAAATGTCCTAACAAAATGAGTTCCCTGCTCTCTTCTGTCCACATGCTTTTTAAACTGAGGGTATTTGGAGGAACATCAGGTAGACATGAAGGCACAGGATAAATATGGCTCCCCAGAGTGCCAATTTTCCTGAGCATCTGGGCCAGGGACCATCTTTGCATTTCATGAAAGCAGAGATACATGGATTAGAATGTAAAATTTGAATTTTCAGGGTAAATTACAAGGTTTGAATGAAACTCATCTCTACTGTGGGTTACATTGGGCTATGCCCTGAGCCTCTTAGGGACGGAAGTGTGTTCTTTTTTTGCTATTAGAGGTGCTTTGAAAGTATTTGAAAGCGAGCTGCCTTTGTATGTGATGCCTTCTTTGTGCTGCTCTGAGACAGACATGCTCATGTATGAAAAAGTTCATGTCATTTCTATGTAGAAGAGACATTTCCTAGTTTTGCTCTTGACTGGGATTCCCTTGCACATTTATCTGTGTGGGCCAAAGGAAGTTAGGTTTTTGAGGTCCTTACTGGAAATACATTTATTTATGAAACACTTTGGAAGAAGGGTTTCTTTGTGATTTTTATGATGTAGGTTAGCCATATCTGAAGTGAGATAAAAGCATTGGGAACTCTTATTTCCCTGTGCACTTGCCCTCCAGGAGCTGCCAGCTGGCAGAGGGCAGTGGGGAGGTGCCCTGGAGCTGCAGGTGGGGATGCTGCTCAGTGGGAGGAGTTTAATGGGGAGTCAGCGAGCTTTGCCAGCGAAATGCATTCTTCTTTCCTGCAGAGATACAGCCACTGCTGGAGGATGATTTTCCACAAGAGAACACAGAAGATCTTAGAATGCAGGTTCCTGAGGAGCCCAGCCACGTGGATCAACCCATGACTGGTAACACGGGTGTCTCAGAAGAGTCACAAAAGCCGGATACTGAGAAAGATGCACACCCAGGTAAAGCTGGCAGCCCTACAAAGTGGAGGCATGTTGTAAAGAAGACCTTCTAGGAGATTTGTTGCTACAGACAGGAAATAGAGGGGAGTATAATACACGTACAACAAATTTTGAAAATAAGAAATCCTAGAACTAACAGAGACAAGCAGGAGTTAAGACATGTGGAGATCAATCATAGGACACAGGCCAAAGACTGTAACTAACCCACACACCAATGACCACTAGCATTAGCTTATGCAAATTTGAACTAAAATGTACTTTTAAAGCCTTATGCTCTAAAACAGTTTTCAACTAGGCCAGCTGCATCAGAAACTCTGAGGGTGGAGAACAGCAATCTGAGTTTAACAAGCCCTCCAGGAAATCATGATTGGTTGAGAGTGAAAGTTTAAGAACCACTGCTCCCAAACTCACAAATTCAGTGTCCCCTCCCCCACCTAGCCTCCCCCAAAGCAGAACACAGTGTAGCTCAGTTCTTTTGTTAATATGCTACCTGGACATGGTAAAAAACCTTTTTATAAACAGGGAAGGGATATTTATATCCAGGTATCATTATACTGGAAGAGTATAGGAAACAAAACAGAACGTTGCCGTAAGGGGCAGTGCAATGTAGACAGACACTTGTGAATAGTAACTGAATCTCAGAGCACAGTGAACATCTAACAGGAGAGCAACTCACTTTGTTTGAATTGACAAAATTGTTTTAAAACGAAATTTTAAAAAATGCAACCCCAATAATGGTGTCAACAGCTTTCTAACTTTTGTATAGCTCACTCATTTTACCAGGAAATCAGAAGAACAGCTGATTGTGTTATTTTGTCTATCATAATGGTGACAGGACATCATTATTGTTTTTGTGTTTAAAAGGTTATGGTTTAGAAGCCTAGGTATAGCTTTCCCCTGTGATACCGCAAGGCCTGGCAGCCCTAGGCTGGTCTCTCTAACCCCCTGCAACGTATAGGAGAAGTCACAGTGGGGAGAGGAATGCAGATAATTTGAAGAGGGGGAGAGTGTGTTGGAGATACGTTCATTTATAATTGAAGGGTATGATGACTCTAATGGGAATTCTGCAATTTTTTTCCTCTATATAATTGTCTTTAAGAGAGCCATGGATGCAGGCACAGGGCCTACTATTTAGTGGGCAGTCATTTTAAGAGAAGAGAAACAATTCTTATTCTAAAGCCTAAAATAAAATATTCCTTCCCTTCCTTCAATTTTAGGGATATTTGTAACAGAAAGCACTCCTGACAGTGCTGTTGATGGAAAAAAGCAGCTAGAAGTACATGCGGAAGAGCCAGCCAGTGTTACGCCTTTGGAAAATGCAGTTCTCTTGATATACTCGTTCATGTTTTATTTAACTAAGACGGTAAGTTTGACATACAGTTTCTTCCAATAGAATGTTGATTATTACAGTTAAGTTGATTTTGAGCATGAGGTGAAAAACTTAAAAATGTCTTTATGGATATTACTCCTGATTCTTTGAAGATGGCTTCTGAAACAAGCCACAGGTACCTGGCGTTGATGGGTCTTAGTTCAGTGTGGCACTTGCGTTGGATCTGCTGTGTGCCAGAGCTGGGCATCTACACAGCTGTAAAACATGGTCCTTCCCCTCCAGGGCCTTGCAGTCCAGCAAGGAGATGAAGACATGCACTTGAACACACTATATCACACAGGCAGAAAGAGGAGTATGTATCAGCTGGTAAAATACTGTGTTGAATAAATTCATTCATTGTGGTGGGAGGAGGGTCAGAGAAGGTCAGAAAGATGGGCTGAGAGATGTTTTGGGCAGAGTTGAAGTACCAATGGGAGTTTGATGTGTAGTGTGTTGTTGAACAGAAAGGCTGGGGGGAGGGTGTTATGCAGTCAGAAGAAATAACATGTTTAAGGAGATGGAGGCATAAAGAAAAGGTTATTTCAGGGAGCCAGGGAAGCTTTGTTGGTGTCGTTCAAGTGCAGAGTAGGAGGGAGATGGGCTAAAGGAATTTGTATATCATGGTGGGTTAGACTGTTAGGGATGGGGATCCTTTGAAGTTTTTAGCAGGAAAGGGGTATGCTCAGATTTGTTTCTTAGAAAGAATCACTTCAGGTAGAATATTTATTCAGATTTATCTTTCTACAGGAAGTCATGATCCAAATGAGACATTCAATCTGTCTAGTTTACCTACGATTTTTAGGTCTTAGCTCCCCCTTGTGGTGTTTGTTGAAATTGGGTGGTTTTTCTTGGTAAGTTACATGGAACTATAGAGAAAGTATCTTCTCCAACAAAAATATTTTTCCTCTAGGTTCTGTTATTTCAAGACTTGTGTAGGAAAGAGGGGTTTTTTTTTGTTTGGTAAAATGCATGGTTTTTGAGCCAGGACAATCTGGTTTCAAATCCCAGGTACATCATTTAGAAGGATGAACAAATTACTAAACTTTGAAAATCAGCTTCCTCATGTTTAAAATGATCATACCTACTCCAGTTTTTTAATAATTACATGAGTTAATAATATAAAGTATCTGGTGAAGTTCCTGGCATTTTCTAGGCATCATCTCCTACCTGCTTCTCATTTGGATGGTCAGAGGGCAGTATAAAGACATTGAATACCTGAGGAATTCAGGAGAAAGGCCACCAAGATGGGAAGGATGGAGGGAAAAACCAAACTGGCTTTCAGTTTTTCCCATGGTCATTGTGGTGCAGCAACCTGGGTGAAGGTGCATGTGACCTGTGAGGTAGAATAACAAAATTTTCAGTGATTAAGGGAGTCTCAGAGTTCAAATTTGATGATCAGAATGTATCATTGTCACTTCCAAACCTTAACAGCCTCCAGATGTGGGAGGGAATCTTTATTCACTTATTTATAGATACTCAACAGAACCCTGTTCTAATCCAGGGCTGGGGGACACAAATGTGACATACGATACAGTCTGTGCTTGGGGGAGGGTGGGAGAAGACACAGACATGAATGGCAAGAGAAAAGGGTGCAGGGTTATAAAGTAACATTGACTTGAAAGGTACTGTCAAAGCATTTTGATGGCCCCAATATGTACCAAATATTGTGCCAGGAATAAAAGATTCCAGGAGGTATGAAGCATAATTCTGATTTCTGAAAGGCTTAAGAAAAGGCCATATCAAGTATGTAGGAAAATGGAAAATACATGAAACAGGTTTTGTGATGTGCCAGGTAAGCATAGGTAATTATTTGACGGGGCTGGGGAATAAAGGGGTGCCTGCTGACTTGATTGGGAAAATGACCTCGGATGCCAGCCTCCGAGATCAACAGTTAATGAAAGCTCGTGGTCAGACGAGACCGTAAAGGGCAGCAAGCCCGACTGCTGGCGAGTTGCAGTAATTTCCTGTCCTACAGCCCTGACAAGTAGTTACAAAGTCGGGGCACCAGGTGCTCCTAGTGTGAGCAACCTGTCTTCCAAAGCATGTGTGTGCTTTTTCAACATTTGTTGTTACATCGCCTTTGTCTTTGAGATGGAGCTTTAGAAGTGGGAATGTTGTATCGGTAGGTAAATACACAGGTCGTTTTGGGAGATGCTGCCAAATTCCCATTCACAGGGGTCGTTTCATTTGATATGACAGACAGCAATGTATGAGGACGCCTGCTTGCCCACCATTGTCTCACCAACAGGGTATGTTGTCAAGTGTTTAGATCTCGCCAGTGTACGTGAGAAATGGCTTCTCAGTATAGGTTTACTATGAGCGAGGTGGAACGCGTCTCCATATGCTTCTCAGCTGTTCCTGTTTCTTTTCCCGAGGACTAGCTGCTCATTTTTCGGCCCATTTGTCTATGGGTTTGCCGGCCGTTTTCTTCTCTATTTNACGTGAGAAATGGCTTCTCAGTATAGGTTTACTATGAGCGAGGTGGAACGCATTTCCATATGCTTCTCAGCTGTTCCTGTTTCTTTTCCCGAGGACTAGCTGCTCATTTTTCGGCCCATTTGTCTATGGGTTTGCCGGCCGTTTTCTTCTCTATTTATTTGTGAGGTTTCTTTATGCTTGAGGAATATGAACCCTCTGTCTTATATATGTTACAAGTATTTTTTTTCTCAGGTGGTCACGGTCAAACTTAGCTTATTTTGCATTTTCATGTGTGTGTGTGCAGGGGCTCGACAGGTTTTTTACTTTTAAGGAACCATGTTTTACAAATCTTTTCCCTTGGATTTTTAAGACGTAATTGGGAAGGTTTTGCCTCT